CACACACTGTGGGGCGGTGGTGGCGCATGCCTTTAATCCCAGCATTCGGGAGGTAGAGCCAGGCGGATCTTTGTGAGTTCGAGGCCAGCCTGGTCTACAGAGTGAGATTCAGGAAAGGCACAAAGCTACACAGAGAAACCCTGGGGGGGGGGGAGGGCGGGAAGCAAACACACACACACACACATACAAACAAATAAGCAAACAATTTTGCTTTAATTAATTGCTTGCTTTAATTAATTTGGTCATGATGATATGGGTCAGTGGTCTTTCTCCTCGAATCACTGGGATTAACAACACCATAGTCAGAGGGACAATAGCATGGTAGAGGAGAGTTCAGGCCTCAGCACCAGAGAAATGGTGGGGTCTCTGAACAGAATCCGAGCAACAGGGCAGAGGAGGGAGCCTCTTTTTTCCAAGATTTTATTTTTATGTATATGAGTGCTTGTCTGAATGTATACCTGTATACCATGTGAGTGCCGGGCACCCCTACAACTGGAGTTACAGATGCTTTTGAGCTGCCATGTGGGTGTTGGGAGCTGAACCTGGTTCCACTGCAAGAGTAGCAAGTGCTCTTAACCACAGAGCGGTCTCTCCAGGGCCTGGAGACCCTCCTCTTCTACCTTGTGAGGAGGCTCACAGCAGGAGGCTATAGCTAGGCTCTCAGATTTCCAGGCTAGAGGCAGGAAGCAAGAAAGAGGGTGGAGCACAGGCTATGGCACCCCTTTGAAGTGAGTTTATATCAAGTCTGCTAGTTTGGGCCTTGTAGACAGCAACCCAGTAGGGAGTCTGTCAGTATCTGTGAAGAGGCCTGAGGAGAATCTAGAGTCTAACATTCTTTTGCCTGGGTGTATGTATGTGCACCATGTGCATGCCTGCTGTGAGTGCCACCATGTGGGTGCTGGGAACTGAACCTGAGTCCTCTGCAAGAGAAACTAGTGCTCTTGACACTCGAGCGGTCTCTCTAAGCCTCATGGTTTTATTTTACATTATATCTGTGTGTCTGTGTATCTATGTGCATGTGAGTGTGGCTGCTGAAGAAGGCTAGAGGCATCAGACACCCTGGAGGTTCTGGTAGAGTTACAGCAGTTGTCAGCCATCCAGCATGGCTGCTGCGAGCTGGACTCCTCTGGAAGAGCTGCACATGCTCTTAACTGCTGAGCCATCCCTCCAGCCTGACCATTACACTCTTATAAGAGAGAGTTATTGGAAGCTGGTGGCTGCTAGGAGAGGAAGGGTCAGTTTTCTTTGGGGGTTGAAAGCCACCTTTAACTCCAGTGAGGAACTAGGAGTAACATAGATTCCATGATCGGCAGACAGGGAACAGAGCCAGGACTAGATAATCAAGATGGAGAGTTTCCAAGATGGCTGGTTGTTTCTTCATTCTCCTGACCTAAGAGAAAAACCTGGAAGCTTAAAACAAAGGCCTGGCAAGTTTTTTCTCTGACTGTAGGGACTCTGGCTTGTGGATCAGTCCAACAAATTCAAGGCCAGGATGCCTTTATTCCACAGTTGTAGATCTATTGGTCTTCCTGTCTTTGTTAAAACCCGATCAATCTGCTGGGCAGTGGTGGCACACGCCTTTAATCCCAGCACTTGGGAGGCAGAGGCAGGTGGATCTCTGTGAGTTTGAGGCCAGCCTGGTTGACAGAGCGAGTTCCAGGACAGGCACCAAAACTACACAGAGAAACCCTGTCTCGAAAAACAAACAAAACAAAACTACCCCCCCAAAAAAAACAAAACAAAAAACCCCAATCAATCTGAAATTGGGATAGACCCCTCTAAAGACCCTTAAAACCTGTAATACTCAAGAAGAGACAAGGCTCCTTTGACAGTCTTCCCCTCTGCTTGCAGGTGGTCTTCTATGTGTGCCCTCTGTTTGTACATATTCTCCCATACCTAAAACAAGCCTTTCTTATCTCCCAGCGTGGGAGACAGAGGCAGGCAATTCTCTGAATTCCTGACCAGTCAGAGGTACATAGTGAGAATTGAATTGAGTCCTCTGGAATAGCAGGAAGCATACTTAACCACTGAGCAATCTTTCCAACCTCAGGTCCTCATTCTTGGGCGGCAAACCCTACAAGCTAGCTGGAATTTTTAATTTTTTGTTTTGTTTTGTTTTTGTTTTTTGAGCCAAGGTTTCTCTGTGTAGCCCTGGCTGTCCTGCAACTTGCTCTGTAGACCAGGCTGGCCTTGAACTGAGAGATCTGCTTGTTTCTTTCTGCCTCCTGAGTACTGGAATTAAAGGAATGTGCCACCATCAACTGGCTTCTTTTTAAAATAAAAAAAAATTTAAATTTATGTTTTGCCTGCATAGCTGTCTGTGTACTACATATGTGCCTGGTGCCTATGGAGGCCAAAGAAGGTACTGGATCCCCTGGAACTGGAGTTACAGATGGTTGTGAGCCACCGTGTAGTGCTGGGATTTGAAAGTGGTCCTCTAAATCTCTCTCCAGCCTCCTAGCTGGAATTTTTGATTCTTAGTTAGTGAGAAGATTCAACCAGATTCCAGGGTGTGGGGCTCTTTTCATTTATCATGTTTCCATAATTTTCCTGTCTTTCTATTCTGCCTCTTCCATAGCTCTGGGCATGATTTCGAAGGTCTATGATCCTAGGTCATACAGGAGGCTGAGGCAGGAGGATCTCAATGAGTTCTAGATCAGATGAGGCTACACAGTAAGATGTCTATACCTCTCAAGACAAAAACAAAAGCCAATGTAAACCAAAACAACAACAAACAAACCCCAAGCTCCAAAATGTCCCTGTGAAAAGGATGTTGTCACTGTTACCCACACACTGTTGAGCCCTCTCTTCTGAGAGGAATCCCACACCAGATGGTTCTCTCTCTCTTCAAGTAAAAGACGTAATAGGTTGAATACAAATACCACAAGTTAATTCAATGGCTAAAGACTGGAGAAACCAGAGTCTAGGTTGCTAATCAACTTCTTTACCCTTTAGGGGTGGAGAAGTCATGGATAAAGGGTTAAAAATTAGGGACACTGAGCCTTGTGGCTCAGGGCTGTAATCTTAGCACTGAGAAATGGAAGCAGGAGGATTAGAAGTTTGAGGCTTAGCCTTGGATACATGAGACCTGCCTCAAAAGAAGCAAAGCAAAACAAACCAATAACAAAAGAAACCAGGGGACAGACAGGATAATAAAAGAGAATATATGTTTTCTAGGACTAGGGAGAGTTCTTTCCTTTAAAAATAGGTTTTCTAGCCAGGAGGTGGCGCACGCCTTTAATCCCAGCACTGGGGAGGCAGAGCCAGGCCGTTCTCTGTGAGTTTGAGGCCAGCCTGGTCTACCAAAAAACCTACACAGAGAAACCCTGTCTCCAAAAACAAAAAAGAAAGAAAGGAAAGAAGGAAGGAAGGAAGGAAAGAAGGAAGGAAGGAAGGAAGGAAGAAAAAAAGAAAGAAAGAAAGAAAGAAAGAAAGAAAGAAAGAAAGAAAGAAAGAAAGAAAGAAAGAAAAAGAAAAATATGTTTTCTGTTATTAAGAGTGTGTTGTGTACATGTTTGTATGAGGGTGCACATGTGCCATGTTGAACATGTGGAGGTCAGAGGACAATTTTTGTGGCTTCAATTCTCTCCTTCCATCTTTGTATGTGTTATGGGGATTGAACTCAGGCCATCAGGCTTGTGTTACAAGTGCTTTTTTACACCTCTACACAGCCTCCCTTCCCTCCTTTTGAGATAGGTGTGGCCCAGGCTGGTTTCAAACTCATGGCAATGAAGTTAACTTTTCTTTTTGTGATGTGTTTTTGCTTCTTTTAGTTGCTCACAGCCTCCTCTGCTCCCAGCAAGAGATGCCTAGGGAGATTCAAATTTCTTCATTTCATTGTTTCCACAGTCTAAAAACCAAAGAAGGGATACACGCATCTCTTTAGTATAGCCTCATTCCTGCCAGACAGGCTGGTGACAGAGGATCCTAAGTTTAAGGCTAACTGGGTTACATAGCAAGACCTTGTCTTAATCAACAACAAATGTTAGCAGTGATAGGAAATGAACCTATGGCCTCATGCTTGCTAAATGAGTACTTACCACTGAGCTACAGTCCTAGCCCCTCCCCCAACAAACCAACCAACCCGCACAACAAAACAAATGGGGACAATAAACCTACCTTATAGCTGAGGACATTAAATGGATTATCATAGCTAAGAAGATTCAAGTAGATAGTGGTAAATGTCATTGTCATGGGTATGCTTTCAAGGTTAGTGAGCGTTTAGGTGATGCATGGGACTGTGTGAAGTACTTTGTACACTTTTTTTTTTCTTTGAGACAGGATCTTTTACAGAACCCTCGATGTCCTGGAGCTCACTCTGTAGACCAGGCTAGCCTCATAGAGAGCCTCCTGCCTCTGCTTCGTGAGTGCTAGGATTAAAGGCATGCACCAACAGACTCCGCCACTTTGCACATTTTAATTCGCGTCTGAGAATAACCCTGTAGGGGAGGTACTATAATATTACTTAGATAAAGGGAAACAGGTTTTGAGAGAATGGGTGATTATGTCCAATTTGAAAATCACAACTCCGCCCCAGGAAACGGTGGCTTATTTCAAGACATCTCAGCCCAGTATCAACGCTCCCTCGATTGGCCTCTGGCCTTGCCTACCTCCAGCTCCGACTTCTGCTCCAGGTCTGCATAGGAAAGACACTCACGGCTCTAAGAGCCCGGACCAAATTCCCAGAAATGCGCCGCCTTTCCTAATCTAGTTCAGGTAGCGAGTCCTCCGCACGCTAGTTCGGCGCAAACCATACATTTGGTTCACCTGCTTGAGCCAAATTCAGCAGCCAGGAAGGCTGACAACCCTGCAAGCAGGAATCCTGTCACCTGCCGGTGGCACCCATCGGGCTGAGCCACGCCTCCTAGAAATCGGTTGAACCTCTAAGCGGAAATCCAAGACCCTTAGCAGCCTCAGCCCTAGGCCCGCCCCTTCCTTCAGGCGGGAACGTCGAGCGCCAAGATCACTGAACGCAGCCAATAGGGGAATTTGGCGGCAGAGTGGCGGGAGGTTCGATTGACACTGCCTGGAGGCTGTTAACGCGCGCTTCGGGAAGAGGAAGGTTAAGGGCAAGATACCGGAGACGCTCTCCAGCATTTTCTAAGATTCTCCTCCTCCCAACCTGAACCTTTTACTGGCCCTCCCCGCGTTCCTGTTTAACTTCCCTCACGTCTTTCCTGGGTCCCTACTTGACCTCCCTCAGATGGAGGTTGGGCATCATCAGTCTCGCGCTGGTAAATTCCCATCCCCCTCTTAAGGATTCAGGCGCCTCGCCTTCGTACTAAAGCCTCTACTTTTCTCGCGGCTAGTGATAACCCTCAGGGAGGCAGCCCAGCTAGGGACGTTTATCTGCAACTTTATCTGCCTGCTCTCCCATTCTAGTGCAAGCCTGGACTTGGACTTGCACTTTGGATTTCTTGAGCCTTGAATAACAGGCGACCGACATTCCTGGTTTAGACCCAAGTTCCAGCCCCTGATTGCGTCTCCTCCACCCATGACGACTCTTTAGACTTTCTTTTCAATGATCTAGCAGCTCCCTCTCTAGCATGGCTTGTTCCTGCATTGTCGGTTGCTGGGTGCTTTTAATTTAGCTGATGAATACTTGACATCTGATGCTTCTGGGCCCAGGATGGTAAGTGTGACTTTAAGCAGACTTGAGGGGCCTTTGCTGCAGGATCTCTGCAGGTACTCACTCACTGTTCTCCCTTACAGAGGAGGAGCTTAGCTCCCAGCCAGTTGGCCAGGAGGAAACCAGAAGGCAGATCTTCTGATGATGAAGACTGGCAGCCTGAGACAGTAGTGAGTTTTCAAGGGAATAGGGAAAATGGGGATACAGGGCTGTCTGGACAGGAAAGGAGTCAGGAGCTGGTTTCTGTGGTTCATAGTCATCTTCAGAAAGTTCAAACATTTAGTGGCTTTTTTTTTTTTTTTTTGAGACCGGGTTTCACCAGGTAGCGTAGACTGTGGTCTGTGGTCTGCCTCCCCAGACCTCCTGAAGTCACAGGTATGCATCAGCACATCTGGCACTTATTAATGAAAACTTACAATTATAATGTACCAGGCATCGAATAAGATTAATATAATCGTTGTCCTTCAGGTAGGTTCACTAGAAACTAATATAGCCTCGGTTTTCTTCATGGGAGGGGTATATTAAAACCAAGGAATGAGTTATGTTGGGTCCCAAATACTGCAAAAAGTGGGTGTGGTACACACCTGTATTCTGTGTGCTTCCCTAGATATATAGTGTATTCAGGCAGGCCTGGGATGTGAGACCCCCCCCCCTTTTTTTTTTTTAAGACAGGATTTCTCTGATATCTCTGGCTGCCCCTGGAACTTGCTCTATAGACCAGGCTAGCCTCTGAATTTAGAGATCCCCCTGCCTCTGCCTCCCAAGTGCATGGATTAAAGACATGTGCCACCATGCCTGGCTGGCACTTCTTTTTTAAAAATTTATTATTATTTTTTTTTTTATCTTTTTGAGACAGGAGTTCTATATTATGTAGCTTTCTGGCTGACCTTGAACTCACTATGTGTAGACTAGTCTGGCCTTGGACTCAGAGATCCATCTGCCACTGCCTACTAAGTCTAGGATGAATGGTGTGGGCCACCATACCTGTCCTAGAAGTCACTTCTTTTTGTTAGGGTCTGTGGATGAGTAAAGACACGTGAAGAGAAGGCGGCCTGGAAACTGTTTCAGGTGTGCCTTGTAGAATCATCATGGATTCAGTCAGCTTGATGCACTGGCACAAATGTGCTCTTGCCTGATGGCTTGGGGTTAACTTCTTTTTTTAAACTTCTTTTGGGGAGAGTGTATATGCTATGACATTTAGAGAAGAGTCAGTTATCTCCTTCCACTGTGTGGGTTTAGGGATTGAACTCAGGTCATCAGGCTTCGTGGCAAGTCCATACTTGTGTAGCTGTTTTCAGACACCTCCCTCTCCCCCACCTTTTGCGACGGGATCTCATATAGCTCAGCCCGGCCTCAAACTCATGTTGTAGCTAACAGTGACTTAAAACTGTAGCTTCCCCCTTTCACCTTCAGAGTAAACCACCATGCCTGGCCTGGGGCTCATTAGCATTGCTGCTTTGCTACCTGTGAGAGAAACAACGGTTCTCTCTCACCATTCACAAAAATCTCAGAGTTGAACTTGGGGCAGCATTCTCTGCAGGTGAATAATGAATGGAGCTCTACTTGGGTGTTACAACTGAAAGTACTGCTTGTTTTTTGTTTGTTTGTTTGTTTGTTTTGAGACAGGGTCGAACTTCCTAGTCCAGCCTGGCCTCAGACTCACAGAGATCCACGTGCTTCTGCCTCCTGAGGTAGCTGAGCCTAGTAACACATAATATTTTAGGATTGCTGTGATAGTCATATATGATAATACATGTTAAGAGTTCAGTGTGGGGGTTGGAGAGATAGCTCAGCGGTTAAGAACACTGGCTGCCAGGCGATCTCTGTGAGTTTGAGGCTAGCCTGGTCTACAGAGCTAGATCCAGGACAGGCACCAAAGCTACACAGAGAAACATTGTCTCGAACCCCCCCCCCCAAAAAAGAGAGAGAG